ACTACTTCCATATATAGATCCTTAACTTACTTAGGACCAATTTCAGAAAAAATTTCAAGAGTACTTGTTAATAAAATTAATGACTTAAACATCTCCTTTAAAACCAAATATAACATCAAGTCCATCTTCAGCAAGACCAAAGACAAAGTTGACAAACTAAACAGAAGTGGTATTTACAAGCTTTCCTGTGGTGATTGTAATATGACTTATGTAGGTAGAACAATGAGAACTCTGAATCAAAGAATCAAAGAACACCTCAATAACCCAGAAAAATCAAACTTTGGATATCACATTAAATTTAATAATCATTCTTTTTCTCCTTCTGAAAACAGTAAAATTTTACACAACATTCCTAATAAAAACTTTAGACTCATGAATCTCTTGGAAGATCTAGAGATATCCAAAGAAATGAAAATAAACCCTGATTGTTGCTTAAACACACAAATCAACCTCAATTGCAACTATAAACCTCTTTTTAAATTATTATGGGAGACTTTAGAGGAAGAAGGGTGACCTCATGCAATCTTGTTATATATTTTTCATACTTTTATTTTTTAAACAAATTTTAAACTTTATTAAAATTTACAACATTTTGTAATTCATTTGACAGTTGTTCTTAATTGAAACATGAAAATACATTCTTAAAAAAATTTTTTATGCAAAGTTCTTACAATTTTCCATCAAGACATACAATTCTTAATACACTTAAGTATCAGATAACATAACATTAATACCAGGTTTCTTCTTTATAGTGTTGTTGAACAATTTGAGCCCTTGTTCCTTAAGGATAGCTGTCAGATTGAACATACATTGACCTTGAGCAATGACTTGAGTGAATTTACAAATTAATGTCATTCTGTATGATGTGATGAACACATAAAATTTAATTTTAAAAACTTAATTTTTAGAAAGTCTTTGATGACTAGTAGTAATTCCAAACTACTAAATAATTTTGTAAGAATTTAAAAAACAATCTCTATTTCCTATATATGACATTTGTCACCTGTCACTTTTGAAAAATCGTTTAAAAGGACCGACATTTGATTTCACTAGTTCTATTCAGTCTACATCCTCACATCAATAGATGGTCGGGTCTTAAACCCGTACCATGACAAAAAAAATTTTTTCAATTTTTTAACGTGTTTGTGACGTCCAGTGTCGACCTTTTATATGTTTTTTATATGTTTTAAAAATTCCAACTCCTACAAAATCATAATTGTGAAACTTAAGGAAATGAGATCTCTCCTTTGTAGTGGTATTTAAAAATTGACGTAAGTTAAAAATTACAATCTTTACCAATTAGTACTTATTAGAACATTTTATTGTAGCATAGCTCTGATGATGGCTTTGTAAAGCCGAAAGCGCTCAGCTAGGAATTGCCTAAAATATACACACTTCAAAAATACTTTTTTGCATTTTCTTTCGACTTGTCATAAGTGTGTACAAAAAAATATCAGTCTTTTGATTGTTAACCCAAAATACCTCGGCGTAACTCTAGATCGTACCCTAACATTCAAAAAGCATTTGGAAAACACTTCAGCAAAAATTAAGACCCGCAATAATATTATCCATAAGTTAGCAAATACATGTCTGGCTAAACAGTCATCACACAAAAGTCATAGATACCCAGTTAAACCAAACAATGAGGCACATAACGGGAACTATAAAGCCAACACCAACCCAATGGCTTCCAGTTTTAAGCAACATCGCTCCACCAGCAAGAAGACGAATAGCCGCACTCAACACTCTAGTTCAAAAATGCCAACAAAACCCAGAACTACAGACATCGCTGAACTACAACAAAGGCAGTTAAGACTGAAATACAGACATCCACCTACTAGAACTGCTACAAAATTGGCTGTTTTCACTACCGAAGAGCACTGGATGGGCGAATGGAATCCAGACATCAGAAATTCCAAACTGATAGAAAAACCCACCATTAAACCAGACGGCTTTTCTCTTCCCCATCGTGAATGGTGCAACCTAAATAGAATACGAGTTGGTCATGGAATTTGTAACAAATCGCTGAATCAATGGGGTATAAATGCCAGCCCGGAATGTGGCAAATGCAGCGCTGCTGAACAAACAATTAACCAAGTGCTCTCGAAGTACTTGTAGAGTCTGAGGAGGACGTTGCAAATTGAGCAATCTCCTACCCATCACATCCTACACGTGTTCAATTGGGGATAAGTCGAGAGATCTTAGAGTGTCAAGATAGGGTAAAAGGTGGGGTTCTAGAACTTCTTAGATATAACGCTGCGCGTTTATGTTACCTCTGATGATTAAAGGTGACCTGGAACCATAAGCTAGAGCACCCCAAACCATAACTCCAACAGTGTGATAAACATGGCTTTCAAAAAAAACTGTGGATTCCTTATTTCACCACGTCGCCTTCTAACCCTCGCTCGACCATCGTGCATACCTAAACAAAACCAAGACTTGTCACTAAAGACAATACCACTCTAGTGTTCTGGAGTTAAAGGGAGGACCCAGTGTGGTCGGTATGAAAACAGGCCAAAACTTCTCATTCGTCGGTAAACACTTCTCATGCCAATAGGTCTTCCGTGTTTTGCAAACCATTCATTTGCAATAGAGCTGGTAGTGGAGAAACGGTCTCTTAAGGCCAATAATCTTAGGCGGCGATCTTCACGGTGTGTTGTTCTACGGCGGCATCCAGTACCCCTTGCTTTTTGCGTACGGCCTTCTTGAAGCCATGTTTAACAACACCTAACCACGGTGTCAACACTTCTTTGCACTCTAACTGCAACTTCCCGAAAAGAAACTCCAGCTTCCAGAAGTCTTATTATAAGGCCCCTATCAAACTCACTAAGTTGACGAAATCGTACAGGTCTCCGTACTCTAGGCATCGTAACTAATCGTAAAGAATGTCAAGAACCACAATCTGCCAAATTTGGATCTTTACTGCGGCTGAAATATTCATTTTTAGATTGCTAGCGAATTTAAAAACAAAAAGTATAAAAACCGGAATCTCCAATTGATAAGGCTAAAAACTTTATCACTTGTTTTTTTCAGTAAGATACATAAATTACACCAAATTTTATTAAAATGAAATCATTTAATCTGGGTGTTCGGATTTCTATGTCACTTAGTATATATTTTATTGTAGAAAAAAAATCACCATTCCATTATCTAAAATAATATTCTCTCTACAAGAAGTACTTACAAAGCTTAAAAACGTTGCAAAAGAGACGAAAAAGAATAAAAATAAAAATAACATGAAACAAGAGCTTGCGGTATCAAAGAAAAATATATCAGAATTAGAGAAAAAAGCAAAATGCTTGGAAAAAGAAAATAAATAAAAATAGTTATGACAAGTGTTCCGTCTCACTATAATTTAGTTCATATTATTTTTTGATATTATTTTATTTAGATTCATAGTTGTAATTTTTAAAGTTTTGGGTAAATTTTTGTTTCCAGAAATCTATTAAAAGATTAAAATATTACATAGATCTGGGGAAAATTTGTCTACTATAATTCCTCCCTCTAGAAAGTATGTACCCGGCAAATCCGTCGGCTATTGTTGTCGTATCCGCTTCGTCTGTATGTGGTTCTGATAAGGACAATATGAATGATTTTGTAATTTACGTTTTTACCCCAAGGTAAAGTTATATAGTTCTTAGTAACGCCCTCCCCCCTACAAGGGGTTTCTGTTAGGCATTTGTCATGTATTTTTAGTAGTATCCAATGGAACATGTATAGTAAGCAATAAATAGTTATATAAAAATTGTCGTCGTATATTATTTTAATTTAATAAAATAATATTTTATAGCAAATATATCTCACGGTAAACTAATCGTGCTTAAAAACAACAAGCTTAAAAATAGCTTTCTTTAAAAAGCATGTAAGAAAAAATTTAATAACTGAACAAGCAATAAAAATAGGAGAAAAACTCTGTAATAAACATAACTGATAAGAGGAAAAGTATTTTGGAAGACCCGTGGTAAATCCTAGGAAGACGGGAAACTAACTAAATAGATGTAACAAGAAAACACTGAAAACTTCATCAAAACTTCCACAAAAATTTATTATAAACTCTTATCACTACAGCTGTTTCAGCTGATTGCCTTTCTCAAGTGATCTATTTTTGGCTTGGGTTTACAAATTTATAGTCTCTAATGAAATAGGTTGAGGAGGGGAAAACTGTTTGTCTCAAGTTGGTCATTCAGAATATTTATATCTGTGTTGTTTAATTTGTTAATTATTGTATATTTTATTGATATTAATTTTATTATCTATATTAAAAAAGCAGTAGAATAAGGAAATAATATCCTTTTTAAAACGTTCGAAACGCTAACTTCTGAAAGCCAATTTCTACTTGATTTTTGCCAGGCATTATTTTTTACGGACCCGGCCCTCAACCCTTAAATGCGAAAACTTTGAAATTTTGGGGTATAAAAAATCGTAAAACTGGCTTTTTATCCTAATAACTAATGAAAAAGTTTATACACACGATATAATCGTAGGACTTTATCACGATAAAATATCCAACATTAATATTTTAAGATTATATATATATATATATATATATATATATATAATATATATATATATATATATAATAATAATAATAAAGTATTCAACTAGTGAAATCAGAGGTTTATTCCGTCATTCAGGTTGGCAAAATAAAAAACAGAAGTCAACTACTTCATAAGTTTATAGAAGACGTTTCGCTTTATACTTCTAAAGCTTCATCAGTTCTCTAAAATACAAAGATAACATAGAGTTTATAAGAAATACAGATCTAATAATTTATAACTTACAACTCAATATGTAGTATTAACAGATGTTATTATATATGTACTTAAGTTTACTCATTACTTAGAACTAACTTAAAAAAAAATAAACAGAAACACGACTCTAAGTTTTCATATTTGTCAGTTGGCTTCTTAGTTTACTTTTAATTATATTCATGTAAGAGAACGCTTGCTCGCAAGAATATGTCGATCTGAAGATAGTTAGTACTCCAAATGTCAACTTCTTCACTTCTCTGTAGCAATCTGGAAGACTATTCCATACGTCGATTTCAAAGCTGTCCACTTTTTTTGCGTTACGTACATACATTCCTGGAATTCCAACTCTTCCAACTTACTTTTCAATTCTGTAAATTTTCCACTCCACAAAGCTTTACTTTCTAAATCGATCAATTGCATTTCTAAAGATCCAGTATGAATTCCAAATGGCTCAACGTGAATTTCGTTACTATTTGTGTTAAGAGGATTTACTATGAATGCTAAAGTAGTTTTGTTGGTTTTGAATTGTTCAAATCTGCCAGCAAATTCATCTTTAATTTTTTTTGTAACTGTGCTGAAGTAATTCGTGTCAACAGTTGCACTGGTTTTATCGCGATATTGCTTTAGAAATTGAAAATGAAATAATTTACCGCTCTAAATATCTTCTGCGAAAAGAATTAAATTTTCTTTAAAACAAACCAATTCTTCCACCAAAACATAGGCTGGGTTTCCCTTTCCTTGAAGTTTTAGATTCAGCACTTTATTATGAAGAAGAAGGTCGGAATACTGAGCCTCCATTTCGTTTAACAATTCTTTAAACTGACTGTAGAGTGCTTTTGTCAAGATGCTATTAACAATCTTGATCACTAAATTCATAACCTCAACTATTTCGGCTGAAAATGTTTGGGCACAAGCGATTCTTGGTATATTATGCAGTGAAATGTAAGAATTTCGTGATTTAATTTGCTTTGAAGAATCGTTGTTGCCCCTTTATTTTTTCCTGTCATACTTCTGGCTCTATCAGTTGTCGTTGAAACGATTTTATTTACATCGATCTCATTATCTTCAAGTCATTTTTGCACGGCATGCGCTATATCTGCCCCTCTAGTTTGTCCCGAGAGCGGTAGCAATCCCAGAAGCACTTCTTTGAGACCTTTGGTAGACATATACCTGACAAAAAGGACAACTTGTGTCGTGTCTTTTACATCGCAAGACTCATATATAGCAAGTGATAAGGCGGAAGAAAGTTGAATATCTTCTACCTGCAAATATATTACATTTGAAGACATTTTAGCTACCCTATCTTGTACTATTTTAGCGGATAGTGGCAAATCTTTGATTTTATTCAAGATTTCTGGTTTGTTTTTGAAATCGCTAAACAGGTCTTCAGATGCACTTATGAAGCAGGCTTTAATATACTCACTATCTGTAAATGGTTTGCCTTTTTTTGCAATTTCTAATGATACCGCGAAGCTTGCTAGATTGACATTACTTGTAGATTGGGTCTAGTTACATAATATGGAACTTGATTTCTGTTTTCAATGTGACGTCGCGTGTCACGGTGGAGGGATGCGGTGGGAAGCGAGAATAAGTGACTGAGAGGATCGGTGTCTAATCATCGTTAATCGATTCAGAAAGAGTCATCTAAAGACATCTAAAGAGTCGCATGCGGCTCTCGAGTCGCAGGTTGCCGACCCCTGCGCCATGATTCTTAAATCTGGTCCTGATGCGTCGCTCATGACAAATTGGCAACGCGGTAAACTATTTTCCCGTAAGAAATACATTGCATATCCTACCTGCACAGCATTCTAACTGTGGTTTCTATTATAGAGACAACCAAACTTCTGAACTGCAAAGTCAGCCACGTTTTCTAAATTACCATGAATATAATAATATATAGTGTATAATGACAATGCGTCAGTTGTCTTCCTCTTTCATTTTCGTTTATCACTTTGCCCTATCAGCAAATAAATCAACTGCATTTTTCTTGTAACTAATACCTTTTTTGGTTTTTGGCCTTAGGTTCAAGACCTGTTTAGCCAGACAATTGGTTGAATAACTAAAACAATTAACTCCTACACTCCCTTTAAATTTATGACAATTTTCTAACCGTTCGTTTATTCACTCAATTTCCTAACCTTTACATTGAAAAAACTTATTGGGTGACTATACAAAAAGGATTGGACAGGAACACACGCTTCACGCTAAGGTGCCTTTCATAGCGACCATTTTTCACACAAACAATACAGGCAACGGTTAAAGATAAATGACATAAAAGGAAAGATAATGGGAAATACAACAACTAACGTCCTACCATTTCGGATTCACACAACACTGAAAAAGGCAGTTTAGATTTTCCGTTTGGTACCTTTAAAAAATTCCCATAAAATCGATCTAATAGTGGATTTCGACTACCTAAATAAAGAGTAGAAGCAACGTTCTGCTTCAGTATGATCTTTTGTTGGGAGATGGCTTGAAATAAAAATTTTATGGCTTCTTGATTATACCGACATTGAAACATCCAGTGGTTAAGGTCGTCATAACTGCCATTAGATTCACGTTTATTAGTTTCGGAAAGTTTTAATTTATTGTGTTGGGGGAGTAGATAGACAAGTTGGATATATACTGCAGTATCTATTTTTGCTACTGTTAGTAAAGGATTTCCACTCAATATCTCAATTAAGTCTAACATGTTTCTTCCTAGCTGAAACTAAATCCCATTTGGGCGACTCGTTATATTCTATACCCACTAAAGTAGCGTCTTTAGCCAAATGGTCTACTTTTTCATTGCCTGGAATAATAGAGTGACCTTTAACCCACACATCTAACAATTCTTTTTAGAAAAGTTAAGATCCTTAGCTTTTCAAGCGCATCTAGAATTAGTCTGTTGGTATATATGTGTTTAGAGAAGTGTCTTCATGCGAGGAGGACGAACTGTGAGTCAGGTAAAATTATATATCGTTCGAAATAGAATGTGCTATTAATTATCCAATCCAACGCCTTGACAATGGCTACTAATTCAGCTGTGTTAAAAAAAAAGTTAAAAAAAAACAATACCTAAACGACAATTTATATCCTTCACATAGTTTTTTAGAAATTTGTCGTTGTCTGTTCGTTTTTTGAATGTAAACAATTTGTAGTCTATAGTAACTTCAGTTTGTGGTACTGTAAATATTTATTACTCCATTATTCTTATAAATCCCGATCCTAACGTAATATTCCTTTACCCCGCCACTGATGTGTTTTGCGTGACACATAAAGGATTACGAATATATTTCTTCCTCATTGTTTTTTATCATAAGGCTAGACTGTTGTTTCGTTTTTTATCATTTAATTGGAGCTTTTTATTTCCGTCTGCTTCAAGCTGACCTTAGAACAGATTTCTAGTTGAAAAATAGAAACCGTGACATTGTTTTGCTTTTTAAAACTATGTCTGCACAATGTTACATGCTAATAATAGTAACTACTAAATTAGAAATAATGTTTATGCACTTAAAAATGACCAATTCAAACACGAGTTGATTTTTTAATTATTTCTTACAGTTTCTTTTATAAACTAGTGTTTTTAAGAAAAATACCTTAATAATAATGGAAAAAAGAATCGAATAAAGTTAAAGAAAGACAGTTTATGTTTATTTCGTAGACTATAGTAAAAATTTTGATATTGCCTACATAAAAAACAATTAGAAACTTTACTTGTCATCGATTCTATAGGTATAACAAGAATCCACACACGTGAAAAAATCTGACAGGATCAAAATGTTAATATTATTATCGAAAACCTTGTATTGCTTGTAAAGCTTCTTCTTCTTTAAGTGTCATCTCCGCAACGAAGGTTGACAATCATCATGGCTATTCTGACCTTCGAGGCCGCTGCTCTGAACAATTGCCTTGAGCTGCAACCAAACCACTCTCTCAGGTTCTTCAACAAGGAAACATGTGTTCTTCATACGCTTCTCTTACCCTCTATTTTTTCTTGAATTATGAGTCTCAAGATGTTGTATCTTTCGCCACTCATCACATGTCCTAGATATTGCAATTTCCTTTATTATATTGTATTTTCCAGTTTTCTCTCTCTGCTTATTTTCCTTAACACTTCTGTATTCGTGACTTTATCTACCCATGGAATCCTTAACAATCTTTTAAATGTCCATATTTCAAACGGGTTAAGTATATTTATTGTACTTCGGTTTAATGTCCATGATTCAGCTACATAGTAGAGTACACTGTGTACATAGCATTTAATTAGCGTTATTCTAAAGGAAAATGTCAGATCTTTGCTTCATAAAATCTTTTTCATTTTTACGAAGTTAGCAAGTGCTTTTTCAATTCTGACTCTTATTTCTGTAGTATAATCGTTATTTTCTATGATTATCGTTCTCAAGTAAGTATATTTTTTTAATTTCTCAATCTGCTGACCGGCTACCGTTAATATTTCGTTTGTATTGTTGTTCTTGCTAATTTTCATGAATTTGGTTTTTTTGATGTTAAGAGAGAGTCTATACTCTTCACTCTATCTTAATATTTTGTTCATTAATCTTTCTAAGTCATCCAAGTTGTCGGACATTATGACTGTATCGTCGGCATGACTAATGTTGTTAATTAAACTTCCGTTCACTTTTATGCCGACTGTCTCGTTGACCACAGCTTGTTGTATGATTTCTTCAGAATAAGTATTAAATAATAACGGCGACAGTATGCAATTTTGCCTGACCCCTCTCCTTATCTCCACTGCTTCTGACACTTTTCTTCCAATTTTCACATTTCATCGTTGGCTGTAGTATAAATTTGATATCAATGTTACATCCCTCACATCCAGATTCTTGTCTTTAAGTACTTCTATAAGTCGGTCATATTTTACCTTATCATATTTGTTTTTAAAGTCTTCTATTTCTTGGCATTTTCCGGTGAAGTAAGTCTCTTTAGATTCTTTTATTTTTCTTCTTATTTGATTATGCAGATTTTGCCTTCTTCTGTCCTCCATCATTTCCAACATTTCTTCAGTCATCCAATCTCCTTTATTGCATCTAGTTGTTGTGAGTTCTCTGCGACTTGGTTCGATAATTGCAATTTTAAAGAATTGCCACTTTTGTTTTACATCACCATCAATTGATTCCGGTGTGGATTCTAGGTTTGCATTAATTTCTTGTTTCAGTTTTTTTCTGACAGATTCTGATTTTAATTTTTATACGTTTAGTTTCAACGCGAGCTTATGACTCGCGCTTACTGGGAATTCCTTGCTCATGGGGAACAATTGCAAGCCCCAATCCCTAGCACGAAGGAGGTTCAGCGGGTTACCCGGGCCGCTCGGCCAGGGAGGACAGGCTGATTCCTTCAGTGTAGCGCGCGTGCGGCCCAGAACATAATACAAGGAAAGACTCATAATACAAGGAAAGGTAGAAGGCCGAAGATTACGAGGAAGAGCCCCAACAAGATGGATAGATCAAATTACAGGAATATGCCAAAGACCTATGCATGAATTAAAAGAAATGACCAGAGACAGAGATCTCTGGAGACAGACAATACACGACATCACGTCGACCACTACACTCCCTCTGGGGGGTCAGGATTGAAGAGAGAGATGTTTAGTTTATCACTTTTGTAGCTTTTTTGTATTTTTTTAAGTGAAGTTGGTATTTTGCTAGAAGAGGATTGTGGTCCGACGCCACGGCTGCACCTGGGTACGGTTTCACCGATTGTATTGCATTTTGGTCATCGAGCTAAAAGACAAAAGAGGAAATCTAATCCTTATGAAAAGGAGACCAAAAAAGTGGCCTCTGATGGCGAACATATCAGGA